AAAATAGATAATTCAAAACTAGTGAATTCGAGAAGATATAAATTATTTGATAATATTGTTCTCAACTTTCTATTTGAGAAAAATAGCATATATATTATGCTGAATGTGCCGCTCAAATGTGATGTTGATCAAAATCATGAACTCGACATGCTCTTCTCCATGCAGGGCCGGCCCAGAGGGCAAGCCACCCAAGCAGCCGCTTAGAGCATAAAAATTTAAAGGACATATTTTTTTATAGTTTTTGTATATATTAAAACATTTGTTTGTATATATATGTAAATATATTTTAGAGTTCTATTGATAATAATATTATTTGTAAGAGCTTTATCTTTGCTTATAAAACTTTTATTAATAAACATATTCAATAAATATTTTTTCAAATGATAATTATTTTTTAAATACAAACTTTTATACTGAGAAATTATTTTACTAAATTTATTATTTGACAACACTGAATGTTTAAGATAACATTGATTGATATTGCCATGCAGTTAAGTTGATATTATGTGTACCACTCATTATTAGAATTGAATTTTCTTATAATTTTAATGTTATTTATATTGTATATTAATATAATATAATATAATATAATATAATATAATATAATATAATATAATATAATATAATATAATATAATATAATATAATATAATATAATATAATATAATATAATATAATATAATATAATATAATATAATATAATATAATATAAAACATAGTAAGACATCTTGATATTAGATAAATTGGTTTATGGTTTCAAACATTCCTTGCTTAGATGAGTTAGATAGTGTTTTTAGGGTTTTTTTTTGCATTTTTATGTGTATTTTTGTTATTTAAAACAAAACAAAAAATGTAGAAGACATCAAAATACTAGAAGAAAAGTTTCCACAAAGCAATGATTATTCATGTATTCAGAACATAGAATTTACGGACCGATAGTCTTGCACATAATGTTAGAAAATAACCATCGTTTATCGTTCATATAGACGCAGAATTACCGGTTTGGTTTACACAATTCTCCTGAGTCTGCTTTTGTTTGATGATGAAAAAACACAAAACTCAAAAATACAAAACATGCAAATCTCTTTTAACAAAATTTTTGCTTGGGACATCCGAAAATGTTAGACCGGCAATGTCTCCATGGACTATTTACAAGTCTACAAGAGGCTGAATCAATTATCAGGCACAATGTTCAACCAAATCTTCTTCAAGTTTATTTGTATTTTTGACAAGTGTTCCTTCTATTTTGTAAGAGGTTCTCAATTCACCATATTTTATTCGCTTAGAATATCCATCACATGGTTTTTTCTTCAACAAAATGGTGTAGGGTTGAAATTGATATATCATATAATTTTCTTTTTGAAAGCTGATTTTGATATATCATATAATTACAACGAAGAAACAACTTTTTCCACCAATAGGTCCAAAAGCTTGCGAAGCCAATGGTGCTCTAGATACAGAATCAAACAAGCACAACTTAGGTGTGCGTCAGTTATCCACCATATACCAAATTAGTGGTCGTTCTATTTCTCCGGCCTAATTTTGGGAAAAGATATTTAATTACCTGGACAACTAGAACGACAATGATGATTCAGTTTGGTTGTCTACTGATATCTCCTGTACAGATAAACATGTGAAGATCCTGACATCATACGATTATGTGTATTTTCTGAGGATTTATGACACACTCGAACTAGTACACATTAGGTCTGACCACGGATCGGATATCCGAGATTTTAAAAGTATTTGTGATTTGCTTTGTATGTCACAGATATCTAATTTTTCGATTTGCTTTGCTTCGGTAAAATACGGATATTCAGAAAAATAGATATCCTAAAAATAAATAGATATTTGCGGATATTTACGAATATTTACGGATATCTCATATGTTTGGGTTAAGATAAATAATTCTAAAAAATTGATACAGATTTATTTAGTAAAATATTTTTTGCATGATATAAAAGATAAACTTAAAAGAAGTAGCGAATCTACATATTTTGTAAGTTTTTTAAACTTAGTTAACAATTATAATAACACAAAACTTAAGAAAAAAATTATAATTGTCATAAATTTTTTCCCTTATTTTTATGTAATAATTTTATATAAGTAATAATGTGAATAAAATTTATCAAATCATATGTTATAATGATAATAATAAACTTTATACATTTAAAATTTTAAATATAATCAAGATATACATGTATTTTATATTACAAGATCGGATCAGATATCCGTTTCTCAAAATTTTAGTATAATTGTGATTTGTTTCGATTTTAACGGATATTGAGTTTTTTTATTTGCTTTGTTTCGAAAGATTACGGATATTCGAAATTTCGGATCGAATCGAAATGAATAACGAATCGAATCAAATTTAATGAATAAAATGCGCAGCCCCTAGTACACATACTGTGAGACTATGGAGGCAGAAGTATAAATAATTACACCAAAAATAAAATGATAGGTTTATGTATCTGAGACTTTACAAAAATATCTTACTTCCGGAAGAGCGAGAAAATATACAACTCTTCTTTTTTTGTCAAAATATACAATTCTTCTAAATTGAGAAAAGATTAATAATTAATAAATTTGTGTTGGTTACATGTTTATAAATTAACACCGTTTTTGTTCATCAATTTATCAGATTAACGTTTGTTGCAAAGGAAATTGGGCTCTATATACATAAAAAAAAAAACACAAATGCATTCTCTAACTAAAATTCTCCTCTTTTTCCTACTTTTTCTTCCTATTTCTCTCTACTCTCTCTCCCAAAATTTAAATACTTTTTGTCTTGGTTATTTAGCAAAAATCCCCTTGTTGCAATGGCCAGTGCAAACTCTAACTATTTGTTAGTGTGAGTATTTTTCTGTAACTTTTGTCGTTCATGTAATGTTTGGTCTGCTAAAAAAAATTGTGTATTTCTGGAAGCTATTATTTTAGCTAGTGTTATTTTACTAAATATTTCCAAAATTTTCTTAATTCACATTAGTTTTACTTTCTGTTTTCAGGTTAACCTTCTATAAACTCTTCAAGATTGTAAGTTTCGGTAGCAAGAGAGGAATGTCAAAAAAAAATGTATGATTCGGACAATCAAAGTTATCATAGAAGGGAAGGCTGTAGAGGACAATAAGAATAATCAAAGCTTTTCTAAATTAGCGTTATATCACCGGCCAATTATTTAGAATCAGGCCACATAAATTTGAAAAGCTTTTCTATAGATCTTGAACCAGAATTCTCTTGAATCCTTTTTACACATATACTAATAGAAGCATAGAGCTAATCCAACCTGATTTCAGAAATCAGAAACATCCATGTCAAAAATATAAGAATGCAAATCTTTATTTAATTCAAGTGTGGCCACATTGTTAGAATGTGTATATAGGCCTTTGCACAACGGCCCGGTACATCTCTAACAATACACACTACTTAACCATATACAGTCGTTTGTCACTCCTACTCCTAACGACCAAAACCGGTCATGTGGGCATGCTTTTGAAACATTTGAATAAGACCCCATTTGATGGAGTCCCCTTTAAAAAAGATCATTTTATTTGTGTATTTATATTATTATATTATGTTAAATATGGATGAAAAAAATGTTAGTATAATAGTTTATATCATAATAAAATCGTTAATATATTAATGTTATATAATATGAATAAGTTTAGTAATAGTATTAAATAAATATATACTTTTATTTTAGTAAACTTCAAACTATAACTTTTTGGATAAACAATAATATTTTTTTCAAGAAATTTAAATTTAGTTTTCACAAAAATTAGTAATATATGTTTTATTTAAAAAAAATTAATATAAATATTTATTATGAATAGAACATTAAAATTTTCAGGACCGGCTCTGCGTACGACTTATATCCTATATGTTCATGCTTGTTTAAATTTCCAAACACAACACATCACACAATCAAGACCAGAACATACGGTTTTGCTTTGTGCTAACGTTGTCATGGTTTCACCATCCAAATTCAAAATTAATTATGTGTTACTATTTGACAGAAAAAAAAAAAGATAATACATCACGTTACACCCCCTTTTAATTTGTTAACCCTCAACACTTTTTACTTATTGTTGTTTTCTTTGTTTTATATTTTGTCGTCGACTGTTTGTCCTCTTTTAGACTATGCATCCTTGATTTGTGTAGTTTTTTGTACAATAATGAGGAACAATAAGATTTTATTAGCCGAAGAAGTCGCTGTTTAACTTCCACAGTTCCACACACCTACTAGTTCGATATGGGAAGTAGTAGTCCTTTGATCCAATAAAGTGATTGACATGTGTAATGTTTAGAGAAAGTGATTTTTTCCATAACAAAGTTTAGAAGAGGTAAGTTACAAAAGAAGAGGTACTTTATAAAAGTAATTCAAACGTTGACAAAAGAAAAAACTCAAACTCTTAAAAGGCCATGCACCAATTTTGACAGCTTAGGATCTTTGTAAATCCAGGTACGACCCATGATAATACCGTTCCTTTGGTCCACTACATTTAAGCATCTTTACCATCTTTATCGGCGTTAAAACACATATCTCATCCTTACATTGAATTTAATTTTTGTATCTACTCTCTAACCTAAACCCTAATTCACCTTAACAATTCCTTCATATACTCCCTATGTTTCTTAAAAAAATGTCATTTTTAACATTATTTTCTTATTACATAAAAGGTCTCTATATACATTTCTAATGTGATTTATGATATTGAATTCCTTTTTACTTTTAGATAACCAATAAATAGTTAAATCTTTTTCATTAAAATAATTGTTCAATAAATAAAAGTACATTAGTATATTCAATCATTTTTTTTTAATTTAATCTGTGTGTAATGTGTTTAAGTGACAAAGTATATAGTATTAAGAGAGATAGTTTAGTTGAGTCATTAATTGAATCGCAACCACTTTCCTGAAACCTTAAATGCCTAACCCAACTAGACAGTGTACGTCTCTATAAAAAACAGTTTTCAGTTCTTACATCACACACCACACTATAGTCTCAAACCCAAAACAAAGTTTGCTAATATATTCTTGTGGTCATCAGAAGTAGTACATTGATCAAAGAGGCCAAATAAAATCTCTTTTTAACAATGAAGATAAAGATAACAAGCAAAACGCATGTAAAACCATGCAAGCCAATACTGGGGAAGAAACAATTCCAGCTCACAACATTTGATCTTCCTTACCTAGCTTTTTACTACAATCAGAAGTTTCTGCTCTACAAGTTCCAGAACCCTCTAGATCTCGAGGAACCCACTTTCCAAAACGATGTCGTGGAGAAGCTCAAAGACGGTTTGGGTACGGCTCTTGAAGACTTCTATCAGCTTGCCGGTAAGCTGGCCAAGGACGACGAAGGGGTCTTCCGCGTTGAGTACGACGCTGACGATGAAGAGATCAACGGCGTGGAGTTCTTGGTTGCTGAAGCTCCTGACGTCAGCGTCCATGATCTCACGGTTGGGGATGGGACAGCTCAGCTCGAGGAGTTGGTTCCGTACAACAAGATCTCGAATTTGGAAGGACTTAGCAGGCCTCTTCTTGTTATCCAGGTAATTGTTTAATACATACATATTATTTTATTTCCCTGAAGTTTTTTTACAAAAACGAGTCGTAATCTGCAGTCAGTGAATTATCACATTCAGCTTTCAAATGCTTTTATTTTGCAATTGGTTGCATGTGTAACTTTGATGTAACAAACAGAAATTTAGCTGACTCATCACCCGTTAAAAACAACATTCAATGACTGACGTATACACATGTAGTCGACTTATAGTCATGTACAAAAAAAAAAAGTACTATGTATTTAATCTTAGGTTTACGAATCGAAAGTACTATACACACAAAAGCTAAATATCGTTATCCATCAAATCCTACACAAATATGGGCGTTAGCTTAAGGCCCCATGCATGTTAGCGACTTAACGCACTTAATGCGCCTTAGGATTATAATGTCCGTACTAAAACAACCAACTATATTTTCGACCTTAAGGCAAATATATAAAATACAAACATGCATTGCATTGTATTCATATGTATAACCTTGTGTATATATTATACATACGTAACGTACATGCATACAATGCTTTAAATCAGTGTCGGAAACTCATTCAAATTCTTTACGGCATTTAATGTGAAGTTAATGCATAGGCTTTCGAAAACAGGTGTGGTAGTTGCAGTAGTCATTGTTTCTGTTGCTTGTCTGGTCTCAAAGAAACTTCGATTATTCTTTTCGATTTTCTAACAAAATACAGTGCATAAAGGAATCTTATATATTAAAACAGAAGTCATGACTCGATTTCATGTGTGATTTTTTAAAAAATGGAATATTACTAGAATGTCATGTTGCATTAACTCTCTAATAATCTTATCATTATTATATCTTATGAAAAATCATATCTATAATAACAAAGATACGCTTAACAATTTGGTTTTGGTAAATTACCTCATACCTTCCAACTTAGTCACACAAAATATGTTAATAGATATAAGTTTATGAATCTACTATTAGTTATAAGGAAATATGTCAATAATAGTTAAATGCATCTACAATATATTAACAAAATCACAGATTCATAATATGGAATATATATATACCCTAAAAAAATTTACACGCTATATATACTAGATAAATTTATTTCGATGTAAAATTTTAGAATTATATTGTTTTAAAAAAAGAAATTGTTTACAAAATTTCTTTTTAATAAAATTCTTTATAATATTAATTTATGAAGCTATAAGTTTAGTTTTTAGCAAAAATTTCTTTGAAGTTTATATTATCTTTGAAAATTAAAGTATACTAATATTTAATCAAACTCTATTTATATTACTTTATCTAAAAATGAAATATTAATCTAACAAACAATAAAATGTAGAAGAAGAAGCAAACACATGTTTGAAAAACATGTGTAATATAGAAAATTAGAAACAATCTATTTGATTAAAACACGTATTATATAATATTATTAAGTTTGAAAAACATTTACTATAGATATCGTAAATATGTGATTACTACAATATATACCAATTTCCAAGTGAAATCAAAATGTTTATATAACTAACTATAAACGAAAACAAACACTCGCGCGGTTGCGCGGATCAAAATCTAGTAGCTGTTAAATCAGCAAGCGGCCAGACAACCGTTGGAATAGGTCCACAGGTGGAACAGATGTTTCTATGTTTTCATCTACTAAATCAATTCTACATTTTGTCCAAAAAAAAAAAAATCAATTCTACATTTATTTTGTTTATTGTTTAAAGATAAAAGGATGTCATGTTATTGGGTTCTAAACATAAATAAAAGCCCACAAACTTCTATTACTTTCGGTATCATGAAAAAAAAAATACTTAAAATGTACTCATCCATTAACTTGCTAGGAAAATAGTTTTTTTTTTCTTTTTAAACCAAAACAACTAATACATTGTCTCTTTAGGCTAATCTCATTGTCTATTTGTCTTATTAGATTATATATTGTCTAAATAGTAATAATACCCTTTAATTTAGTTTATTAATTCAAAATTTTAATTAGAAAATAAAAATTATATATTTTAGATTTAAAAAAAACTAATTCGAAATTTAAAAACTATATTTTAAAAAAAACATATTTCCAAATTTTTCTAAAAACTAAATCGAAATTAAAAAAAATTTCCAAATAAAGAAAAAATCATTTGAAATAAAAAAAAATTTCCCAAAAATATTTCAAAATATTTAAAAAACTTATTCAAAATAAAAAAAAAATATTTCCAATTTATAAAAAACTAATTCGAAATAAAAAAAATTCCCAAAAAGTTTTCCAAAACTTTTAAAAATTAATTCGAAATTTTTTTAAAATATCTAAATATTTAAAAAAAAAATTGGAAACTTAAAAAAAAAACTTATGCGCGATTAAGAAAATATTCCAAATATTTATTCTCAAATTTTTGAAATTCCAAATGTTTTTTTAAAAAATATTACACATTTCCAAATAATTTCAAAAAAAATATTTAGAAATATTTTATTATTTCAAAATTCTAATTAGAAAACAATAATTATATTTTTTTTTTGAAAAATCAAAGTTTAATATATGGTAACTGAATATTTCCAAATATTTTATTTCCAAATTTTCACAACTGATTGTCTTTATCCGTAGAATATGTATTCTACTATATGTAGAATGCAGTAAAAATGTTTATTTTGTTTATTGTTTAAAGATAAAAGGATGTCATGTTAGTGGATTCTAAACATAAATAAAAGCCCACAAACTTCTATTACTTTCGGTATCATGAAAAAAAAAATACTTAAAATGTACTCATCCATTAACTAGCTAGGAAAATAGTTTTATTTTCTTTTAAAACCAAAACAACTAATACATTGTCTCTTTAGGCTAATCTCATTGTCTATTTGTCTTATTAGATTAAATATTGTCTAAATGGTAATAATACCCTTTAATTTAGTTTATTAATTCAAAATTTTAATTAGAAAATAAAAATTATATATTTTAGATTTAAAAAAAACTAATTCGAAATTTAAAAACTATATTTAAAAAAAAACATATTTCCAAATTTTTCTAAAAACTAAATCGAAATTAAAAAATATTTCCAAATAAAGAAAAACTCATTTGAAATAAAAACAATTTCCCAAAAATATTTCAAAATATTTAAAAAAATTATTCAAAATTAAAAAAAAAATATTTCCAATTTATAAAAAACGAATTCGAAATAAAAAAAATTCCCAAAAAGTTTTCCAAAACTTTTAAAAATTAATTCGAAATTTTAGTAAAATATCTAAATATTTAAAAAAAAAATTGGAAACTTAAAAAAAAACTTATGCGCGCTTAAGAAAATATTCCAAATATTTATTCTCAAATTTTTGAAATTCCAAATGTTTTTTTAAAAAATATTACACATTTCCAAATATTTTTCAAAAAAAATATTTAGAAATATTTTATTATTTCAAAATTCTAATTAGAAAACAATAATTATATTATTTTTTTTGAAAAATCAAAGTTTAATATATGGTAACTGAATATTTCCAAATATTTTATTTCCAAATTTTCACAACTGATTGTCTTTATCCGTAGAATATGTATTCTACTATATGTAGAATGCAGTAAAAATGTTTGAAATTTATTTCTACTTGGTTTTGATTTATAGTATTGAGTAAATTTCAATTTCTACATATTTTAGATTTATAGTAATTTTTAGATTCTGATTTCTACTGATTTTAGATGGATGGATTAAAGTGTGGAATGTGTATTCCAAATAGTTTTATATCACTATTATTTACATAGAATATGTATTCTGAACATAGTAGATTCTATGAAAAAAACAGATTTCATATTCTACTTTGTAGAATACCAATTATGATATGTGTAGATTAAAATAGGAAATTATGATTTAAATATTTTTTTAAACTGAAAAAATACAAATAAGTTGATATAGGTATATTACATCATTAGTTATTTTTTTTTTGTTGATAAAATTATTTATTTGATTAATTTCTGAAAATACTTAAGGGTAATAAAATCAAAAATAGTACAAAATATAATTTAGCCTAAAAAGACAATGTCTTAACTTTTTTGCCTAAAAAACAATATTTCCTAACTTGTTTTTCCAAAACAGGTGACCCTACTTAAAGATGGGCTTGCAATGGGCCTAGCTTTCAATCACGCAGTCCTCGATGGAACTGCCACATGGCACTTCATGAGCTCATGGGCCGAGATATGCCGTGGCGCCAAAACTATCTCAACCCAACCTTTCCTCGACCGAGCCAAGGCGCGTGATACGCGCGTGAAGCTTGACCTCACTTCCCCCAAAGATCCCAACGGCGAGGATGTTGCGGCGGCTCCACCGCACCTTGTCGAGAAGCTCTTCAAGTTCTCAGACTCCGCCATCCACACGATCAAGTCAAGAGCCAACTCAGTCATCCCATCCGACGGCTCAAAACCATTCTCCACTTTCCAGTCCCTCACATCACACATCTGGCGCCACGTCACCCTCGCGCGTGGGCTTAAACCCGAAGACATAACTGTCTTCACTGTCTTCGCTGACTGTCGCCGCCGCGTTGACCCTCCAATGCCTGAATCATATTTCGGGAACATGATCCAGGCCATCTTCACGGGGACCGCGGCGGGGCTTCTGGCGGCGCACGGGCCGGAGTTCGGAGCCTCGGTGGTGCAGAAAGCGATCGTTGGTCACGACGCGCGTGTGATAGACGCGCGGAACGAGGAGTGGGAGAAGTCGCCGAAGATATTCGTGTTCAAGGACGCGGGAATGAACTGCGTGGCGGTTGGGAGCTCGCCGAGGTTCAAGGTCTACGAGGTGGATTTCGGGTGGGGTAAACCGGAAACGGTTAGGAGCGGGTCGAATAACCGGTTTAATGGGATGATGTATCTGTACCAAGGGAAGGCTGGGGGTGTGAGTATAGATGTGGAGATAAGTCTTGAAGCTCATGTCATGGAGAAGCTAGAGAAGAGCAAAGAGTTTTTACTCTTGGAGGAAGAGGAAGTTGGAAAGAAGCTTAGCAATGGCAATGGTGTTGCTAATGGTAACGGGTTGGTTTGAGTCAATTAGTGCGAGTTAATTAATCAATTGGGTTAATTAGCTGATTATATATATTTCAGTGATCCCAATAAATAATTGCTCTTTGTGTTGATAATAATCAGCAGAATGCTGGCGTGTGAGTTTGTAGTGTGTGCTGGTTTGGACGATGTTTTAGTATGGCTTATTATGTTGTTTAAAATTAAAATGCACTGTGTTTTATAATCTCGAAAAGTGGTCTTTGTTAGATTTTTGTTAATCGGCCAAACAACTTTAGATTAAGTTAGTTCGTGTCAAAAAAGAAAAAAACATTATGTGGTCTTTGATGGATACTAAAAATTTTCACAGCTTAGATTATGTTACCATTTGTTACTACTGGTTGTGGGAGTCGATTTTACCCTACTGTCAAATAAATCGTAAAAAAGGAAACTTCGGGAAAACTCTAAGTTTCCAGAGGAACTGGCTATCTGCGAGAACCGCACAACGAAAATAAGATGACGAAAATACTTAGAATTTAAATGAGAATAAACGAAAACAGAGAGCAAAGAGGTTCTTATTCCGAATCTGCGTTGAACTGGTACAAAAAGAATTGCCGAGAGCGTAAGACCTAGAAAACCCTAATTGAGACGCAGCTAGCTAACAGAAAAACGGAAATATTCCTAAATGCTAGTTTTGGTGGTGAGAGCTCTGAATTTCGTGTCTGTGCTTCTGCCCTAGACCTCCTCTTTATATACTCCTCATCTTGGCTATCCGATCTTTCCATTTCGCCCAGATTTGACTAAATCGGGAATCTTCCATTCTTCTCGATCCTTCCTTTTCTTTTGCGGAAATCTTCTATTTCTCTTCAAACCTTCCTTTTATGTTTAAACTTGACTTTTATTTTCTTTCTGCGAGTAAACCGTCAAAACGTTATCAAATCTGCGGGTTTGATTCCGTTGAAATCGCGAGGTGGGTTTTATCGCGTTTTAGGTCCTTCCGGGCCGTTTTACGATAAAAACCGTTTTCCGACTTTTACGGGATCGTTTCCTGATCTGACGTCGTTTTTAATAAATTTCTCGAGTTAATCGCAAAGTTTTACGATTTAACCTGATTCCATACCGATTTAGAATCCGCGATAGGTTCTCGGCTTATACGATTCGTCTGGTTGGAATCGAGCACCCCGAAGGTGCTGACCAAAATTTTGGATTTCTTTTATAGCGCGCTATTTTATCCTCGTCGGATGTATGCGGACCGATAGGTCAGTGCGTTTGTTTAGGACGGCTAGCGTGCTCGACGGGGC